TCCTACTTCTGTAGTGATACTGCCTTGGAAACCCAAGGAGGGGTCGCTATGAGTCGGGGCCGACTCGATGGCAAACAACAACAACAACAACATCGTAAAGTTATGAAAGGGAGGCTGAGGTTCCCAAAAACTTGGCTTCCCGTTGTCCTTCCTCTCCCTGCTGTTCCAGAGGCACCCTGTGTGATTCCAGGGCTTGGAGGAACATAGTCAATAAATCACTTTTCTAGGCTCATCTTATCTTCCTTGGGGCATCCACACTAGGAGGTCCTTGAAAACTAACAGAACAAAATCTGGTTTCATCCTATCTGTAAAAGACATATAACTTTTCACCCAATCACTGCCCGACCCTGACATTCCTCTTTCACTATACCCTCCTTTTTTTTTATGCCCACTGCCATGTTCCCACAGTTCTTCCTTTTCCAATCAATTTTGACACTGTTGATGACTCTGTTTTTTAAAGATGTTACTCCAGTCATAAATATCGCATGCTTTTGTCTGCCTCCTGAATTAAGGATTTACCTCTCATCTTGACAGCCCAAGGCATCTGGTTTTCCTGGGACCAGAGAGTACTAAGTTGATTTCATCTTTTCCTGCTTAGTTGTAAGTAGGCACTCAAGTTGCTCTGGAATGTGCTCTGTTCCTCAATCATATCCCTACCCCTCACTCATTCCCCATCCTACTATGGCCATTTCTATATTTGTCAGCCTGTCTTGAATCCTCACCCATCCTTGTCCACCTGTAACTGCTTCACTTACTGAAATTCTATTCCTCTTCCAACGTCCCTGTTGCACAGAATCAGCTTTACAAAGCTTTCACTGATCCTCTTTCCTGGATGTGACCTCCCCTTCCCCCACCCCAGGGCAATAATAGACCTTCACTTATGGACAGATTTAGAGTTTCTTAATGTTCTCATGCCTTTGGTCTCACTTTATGTCCACAATAACCCTGTGAGAGATAAGAAGAATGGAACCAAGGCTTGAAGAGATCAAGTCATTTGGCCAAGATAACAGAGTTAATGCGTGGCTTGGATCAGGTTCCCGGCCAAATGGTCTTCCCACTCCTGCATCTGCCTCAATGTCCTCTTGTACTTACACCATCTGGTCTGGATTTTATTTGTCTATTTTCTTACCATCTATACTGGACAATAAGCTCCTTAAGAAAGAGCTGCCTCACTCTTTGTTTTTATTCCTCATAGCACCTGGCACAGGATCTGGCACAGAGCAGAAATTCAACAGTCAAAATGGCATTAGTAGCTAGGGTATTTCTCCTGGGCCAGGATCTCTGTGCTACTCACATTAAATCTTCATGGGAGCCTGTCAAGTAAGTGCTATGACCTTCATGTGGAAGATGAGGGTCTGAAGCTCAGAGAGGGAGGCATTGGGCTTCAGGGAGAGCCTCCTCATCCAGGCCATGCAACCTCCTATCTTTGCACACTGACCTGGCCACACCAGGCTGGCATTTTATCTTTTTTTTTTTTTGTCATTGTTGTAAGTATATCTAGCATACAACTTTTGACAATTCAGCTTTTTACAGGTATACAACTTACAGCAATTACAACTGGCTGTGCAACCCTACTCTTAATCATTGCTATTTAATCATCACTATTAAACCCTCTCCCCTCCCTTCCCCCCACCCCCAACCCATGGCATCAAGATTGGAGAAGACTCATTAACAACTTGAGATATGCACATGATACAACTTTGCTTGCTGAAAGCAAAGAGGACTTAAAGCCCTTACTGATGAAGATCAAAAATTATATCCTCCAGTATGGATTACACCTCGACATAAACAAAAATCCTCACAACTCAGACA